GTCCACGTGTACCCAAGACGTACGGCACGAGGCGCGGAAAAGGTGGTCCCGCATCGCCTTTGGAATCCGGCAAACTTTAGGGAAAGTTTTTTTTTATAGCCGCCTCGAGGAATGGCAAAAGTTATTGAAAGTATTTCTTTCAAATTGCGGAACTAACTTGTGGAATCGCTAGGTCTGTGCCTGAATCCTGGGGCAGCCGGGGTCCTTTTTTTTTTAATTCGGTGTGTAGAGGAGTCTCCCCGCAAAGCCGGCTTTCTTCGCAAGGCTCAGGTGCTTCTCCAGTTCGGAGGACTACTGCATGCAGAAAGGGGCTTCTCTTTCCCCTGAAACCCTGTTGGTTCAAGTACTGTAACAAAAAATGGACTCGCTGGGGAAAAGATCAGGGGCAGGAAGGAAAAGGAAGAAGTATTGATCAGAGTATTCATATGAATGGGTTAAGTTGCCAAAACATTTGGTGCTTTCCTGAACGCATGGCTTACGTGGGTGGTTGTGTGGGAGTGATTTGGGAGTAAGGAAGGCTCTATTCTCGGATCATGTGCTGTAAAATCCTTAAAAAAACCAGAGAAAACACCCAAAATAACCCATTGAAGTAGCTGCGTTTGGTTCAGCTGTAGCGAGAAGGCCACGTATACATGAATTGACGCCTGTTTCTTCGTCTCTTCCACATGCGGTGCGAGGATCTTCCAGTTTTGGTGGAACCCGCTGCCCCGTTGGGTGAGGGGCCCTTTCCTTGTGCAGAATGGAGGCTGCTTCATTTCTTGCGACCTCCGACGATGGTTTCGTAGCGGGCGCTTCTTTCTCCCCGTGACGTCGATGGCAGATCCTCTGCGGGGGCGAGATCGGGGCGATACGTAGCAGTCTGTCTTCCCTTGCTGTCGTTTGATTTCAGATGAAGGAGAGGTCCTGTGTGTAGCTCCTGGGGCCGATGAGCGTGTGGCCCGGCTGTCGGAGGCGACGGCGACCCAGAGCTCTTGCTTTAGGCTGTGGCTCCCAAAAATGGGATGTTGGTACACGAATGGTTCATAAACTTCTTGCTGCTTGAGGTGTAAAACAATTTACCGCCCACAGCTACCGTTTTTGAAATCCTTCTATGTCGAACTGAAATGTCTAGCGTGTACCTGGCAGACATCTACTACGCTGAATATGTCATTTCCACTTTCTGCTTATTCTTAGACTTCCATAATATTTTCCACATATGAATGCAGGAAAAATACTCAGCCTAGTTCTGTTTATCCTAGCAGTCACTTCAGCGATGGTAAATTTGGAGTATGTTGTTGTTTTTTTTTTTCTGAGTAATTCTGCTGATCTGTGTTGCCTTCTTTCCTTTTTTGTTTCTTTTTGGTACAGTTTTATCTTGTGAGCCAGGAGTGGGGAGTGAGTATCTCTTATTCAAACGCTGCTGGTAGTACACTAACCAGGCTCATGATCTTTTGCTCTTTAATTCCCTGCCCAGGCTCAGGGCTAACAGCTGTGTTTTCAAATAATGCGTGTTTTGCAGAACAGTGGAGGTGAAGGAAAACCTTCTCTGCTAATATAACCCGTCTGTTCCGTCTCCAGGTGGAGGATGCATTGTCCTATCTGGACCAGGTGAAGCTGCAGTTTGGTAGCCAGCCACAGGTCTACAATGACTTCTTGGATATTATGAAGGAATTTAAATCTCAAAGGTAACAAGCTGCGTTTTGTTTCTTCCTTCTAAGTTAGGAGGAGTCTATGCAGGCATGGGAGCACAGAGCAGGAGCTGAATTCTGTCCTTCCCCGTGCCGAGTAACACACCTCTAGCAGTAGCGTGAAAGCAGCGAGTTGTGTGCTTTCTCTTCCAAACGTTAAATGTGCATCCCTTCGTTTCTGCTAAATCTCTGCTTAGAGTGGGAGTTCACAAGTTCAGCCTTGATAGCTGATTCATCGGGCTGGCTGGTTGTCTGCCCATTAATAATGGTCAGAGTTGGGACTAGATCTCATAGATATAAAATGCCGTCTGGGCTAATAAAATAGTTCACGTGTCGTTCTTAAGTTCAGTGATGTATTTATAGGGATGGGTTTTGCTTCGTTTCGTGCGTTAAGAGACGATAAGGTAAAAATTCTAACGGGAAATCCCTGTGTGGAGAACTCGGTGTAGCGCCGAAAGGCTCTTAGAGGATCGTGACGTTTTGATCTTGTTCCTCCCTCAGTATCGACACTCCAGGAGTGATCAGCCGCGTATCGCAGCTCTTCAAGGGCCACCCAGACTTGATCATGGGTTTCAACACCTTCTTGCCGCCCGGTTACAAGATTGAGGTGCAGACGAATGATATGGTGAACGTGACAACACCGGGGCAGGTCCACCAGATCCCCACTCACGGCTTGCAGCCCCAGCCGCAGCCCCAGCCGCAGCATCAGTCGCAGCCTTCGGCGCAATCAACCCCCACGCCAGCACAGCCAGCGCCGCAGCCTCCCCCGGCAAAAATCAGTAAGGTGAGAGGCTTTGAATGACGAACGTTGATACCGCAGGGATCCCTCTGCCTCCGGCTGAAACTGGTCTGGAGCTAGAGAGCGAAAAAGGAACCTCCACGCTGCTTTTTCACGGTATTTGTGAACCCGCGTGTGTTGTGCTTCTGCTGGGTTAGTTTCTCCTTTTCAGACTTCGAGATGTGTCCTGGTCGGTTTGACAATAATTCAAGTAAGGCAGCTTAAGGGTGTGGAAGGGCCTTGTTGCGTTCAGTGGGGAGCTGAAGGTTGCTCGGAGCATCTGGTAAAACGTACGCGTGTTATTCAGGGAGCGATCCGGCAACCCCGGGAAAAGGTCCCCGAAATGCACTTGGCTCTGCAGGAAGGGCTTCCCAGTTCAAGCAGCGGCACGTGTTGAACCGCCCGCTTTTGTCTGTAGCGTCTCGGGGCAGCTGAAGTCCCGAGAAATTCCCGGCAAAACGGAGGCCGTGGTGAAGCTGCTGCTCTTGCTGTGAAAGCTGGCGTGTGGTTCCGGGTGCAGGAGATGTTGAGGATGTCAAAAGTGCAAGAGTTCAGGCAAGGTGAGCGTGATGTCGCCTTTAGGTATCGGTTTGTGCGCCTAAAACTGAGGCTTTTCACTAATAAAGGGAATTTGACTCCCTGCTTTAGGTACAATCCAGATGCCGTTGTCCAACGGATGTATTTTATGTGATTGAAAGCAAAACAGGAAAACAGAAGAGGCATTCAGGGAGCTTACTCTAGATAAAATATTACGTATTCCAGCCTCAAAATGTGGAAAGATCTGAGAGCCTTTGGGGGTTCTTTCCCTCCCTAAGTTTCTCAAGGTTTAATCTCTAAACCGTACAATTAGCTAACAATTGGCTGGAAAAGGGGAAAAAAAAAAAAAAAAGAATATGCAGTTAGAAAGCAGCGGGATTTAAAATGTGGCAATAATCTCTAGACCGACATCGGTGAGACTTGCAACCTCCCGTTCAGAAAGGGCAAATTAAAACGTGTTAGAAGATTCGCAAAGCTGAAGGCTGCAAAGCCAATGCTGCATTCCGGCGTGAACTTACCTGTGCCAGATTTGAAGGCTTTTCTCCGAAGAAGCAGTACATGCTCTCGCTGAAGAGGTAGCAGTCTCTTTCTCATCCCTGTGGGCTAAGGGGGTTTCTCCCCGTGCCATCGTCCGGCAAAGAGTTGAACTATTTTTGCTGAACCTTTAAAATGAGCCTGAGGGGCATGCTAGGTATTGAGGGGAGATTTCCTGACCAGACAGGTGAAGTTGTAGACAGGATCTTGCCATAGGATGCTTCTGGCCATCCTAAGACGGTTGCCCGCGCTGTCAGTATTTAAAACGCTGCGTAATCCACGTTTTGAAGTTTGGAAGGTGACAGGAATTTGTATTTACAATTGCTGCCTCAAAGCTGCTGCAAAATATTCCTGTGGCTGTTAGGTGTCTGTTAAGAATATTCAAAATAATTACTCCGAGAGCCTTATCTGCCTGCTCTTTGGCTCAAAATTGAAAGAAATTCCAGTTTTCCCTTGCTCTTGCCTTGCTTTATGCATCCCAGAGTTCTTCACTAGGCACAAAATAACTTGCAGTGTTGGAGCGAGCCCTGCCTGTGCGTTTTGCCTGTTTTTGAGACAGTACGCATCTCTTTTCAGGGTTCAGTCAAAAGCAAGGAAAATTAACTGTTAATAACAACAGCTTGAATGGTCCAGGTGTTTTGTCTTCCTGGTGAATTGTAGTCTCTGCTGGCCCGCTAAATATTTATCTATTTTTTTGCTTTGGCTAATAGTTTTCTTCTGCTTAGTCTCCCTGTATTTGTGCCTCTGTTAATCTTTAAATCCCAACCCTGACTGTGAAATGGTACTTCTTAATTTTGACTCTTCACAGCAGTTTCTACTTAGCCAGCCGCTAGGCAATGTGGACAGCCCTAGACCTGTGAAGGGAATAATTGTTTAGTAGCAGTTGGAGTCTTTTAAGGAAGCGCGGCAAAAGCCGTCCCGGGCGAGTATAAGGGAGGAGGTGGTTTGACTGGACGTGGTCGCAGGAGGTGTCGTCCACTTGATGTGTTCTGGAGGTATCTCTGTTGAATCCGTGTTGTTCCACCGTAGGTGTCGGATACGTTTATATGCTGGGTTGTTTCCTCTGGATGTGGTCCGTAAGCGGAATAAAAGTGCCTTTATTCCAAACATAAAGGAATCTGCTCATTTCTAACACGGCTTCTTTTCTTCTTAGCCATCACAGCTGCAGGCACATACTCCCGCCAGCCAGCAAACTCCCCCGATTCCACCGTACGCGTCACCACGCTCGCCACCGGTCCAACCTCATACGCCTGTGACAATCTCTCTGGGAACCACACCATCCCTGCAGAACAATCAGCCCGTCGAGTTTAATCATGCCATCAACTACGTCAACAAGATCAAGAATCGCTTCCAGGGACAGCCGGACATCTACAAAGCCTTCCTGGAGATCCTCCATACGTATCAGGTGAGCGCTGACGGTGCGGATTTGAGTGTACGCGTGGTTATTGCTCTTTCTTTGCCATGGGAGCTGACTGTGCCTGTCCAAGAATTACGTTTGCGTCTTCTGCTGGATTAGCATTGGCCAGCAGAATTCTTGCGAACGAGAAGATTACGTAGCAGCATGCAATAAAGGATTTCAGTCCGTCGTCTTTTGTTTGCAGGTGTCTGAAATGCCTTTTTAAAAATCATATTTGGCAGGGGTTTTTTACGAGCGTGGGTCGGGAAGGGACAACACGGCCGTAGTACGATGTTAAAAGTAAAGAAACCCCTTGCTTGACCAGTAGCCTGGACTAGTGTCCAGGGCCAGTTGGGCATTTCACAGAATCGCTAAGGTTGGAAAGGACCTTCAAGATCATCAAGTCCAACCATTAATCCAGCGCCACCGTGTCCCCTAAACCATGTCCTGAAACGCCACATCCAGACGTTTTTTGAACGCTTCCAGAGACGGCGACTCCACCCCCTCCCTGGGCAGCCTGTGCCAATGGCTGACCACCCTCTCGGTGAAGAAATCTTTCCTAATGTCCAAATATTTAGTTTATATTTGTCCTATATATAAGAATATATATATTTAGTATATATAAGAATCATACTATAAACATAGTACTAATCTAGCATGATTCTTTACATAAGATGCCGAGACCTTCGCTCTTTCATTCTTTAGATCACTGAGGGTTTGTAGTTTCTTTTTTTCTTTGCCACTTAAATAGCTTGTGCATCCCTCCTTCTGACGCTTCCCCCCTTTCCTACGACAGAAAGAGCAGCGTAACGCCAAGGAGGCAGGAGGTAACTACACGCCGGCTTTGACGGAGCAGGAGGTGTACGCGCAGGTGGCTCGCCTCTTCAAGAACCAGGAGGATCTGCTCTCGGAGTTCGGGCAGTTCCTGCCCGATGCCAACAGCTCTGTGGTGAGTCATCCTGGAGACGGACCGAAATACCTCGCGGAAAACTGTTTCTCGATCTAGCCAGAGTTCAGAGAAATGTGCTTTTGCTGTTTGTTTCTTGGGTTTTCTTTTTTGGAGTGATCTTTTACTGAGTGTGGGAATGGGGTCAGGGTAACAGACTGTGTGTTCTGCCCACGACTTGTCTTTTAAATACGATCCCTTTGCCTAAAAGGGTTGTTCTAAGGCTTCGATAACTGCGGTAAAATGCACTGGTCACCTAGAGCTAGGAGGAGCAGGCATATTTTTTTGCCTGGATGCGTGGAACTCAGCTCTAACGGTCTTACGGGTTTGTCTCTAAAAAAGCTGCTAAGTAAGACAACTGCAGAGAAAGTGGAGTCGGTAAGAAATGATCACGGTGGCACGGTGAAGAAGCCACAGCTCAACAACAAACAGCAAAGACCCAACCAGAACGGCTGTCAGATCCGACGGCACTCGGGAACGGGAGCAACCCCTCCGGTGAAGGTAAGAGCGCGCGCTGCTCGTTCAGCAGCCCTGTTTTTCCCGGGAGGCTGTGGCAGAGCAGCCTGAGAAAATGGAAACTAATGCTTGCCGTGAAAGGGAGCTTATAAACCACGAGGCTTCGCCTCTGGTTTTCACAGACGGGTGGTGTGACCTGTACGTGAGGGCAGGAATAATTTCTTTCCTGGCTCGGGGAAAAATAGGGCTTTCCCCACCTTTATTAGGATGCGGCGGGATGCGTGGGGGTTGTTTTATCGGTTAATAAAGCAGCGTTTGGTGATGAGGGGGAGATGCGGGGTGTGGAGGCAAAAGTCTCCGTCAGGTCCCAAAATAAAGTTGTCCGAAACCTGCAGCGCTGTTTCTAAGGCATGTAGGAAGATAAGCTGAGGGCAAGAGGAGGGTGTGCCCGAAAGCTGCCTCGCAGCGGCACGTGGAGCAGATGCAGCGGAATCCCGTTCGCTCATCTTCCCTCCGATGAACCTTACGACGCGACGATGAATGATTCTCCTCTTAGCGGAGCTTGCCCTCTTCAAATGACGCACGTTTTGAGCGAGCCGGGCTTTGCGGTGCGATAAAAACGGTCTCCTGGCCAGGTGGCTGAGTTTTTGTGCATTAGGGACGAGCGTGCCCGCCTTATTTGCAGGCGGGGTGTCTTGCCTAGTGCTGAAAAGCATTAGCACGTGTAGTTGTATATATTCAGCTCCGGTGATTTACTTCCCCGTCTGCCCTTTCTCCCCCTCTCCAAATAAAGGGTGGCAAAAGAAACACCTTTTGGAGGCAGCTTTTAGCCTTGCTGAGGATGTAGAGCGGTGCTGATGCGGAGCGAAAAAGGGATCTCGCAGCACGATGGGAGAGAGAAAAAGGGATACGATAATTTTAGGGAGGTGTAAGACTTCAAGAACTGGGCGAGTGGTAGGAAAAAACCAGGTGTATTTGGGTAATTTTGCATACTAGTTAGAAAAACGAGCTACGCTGTAGCGTGGGTGTTTCAATCAACTAATTACAGAAAAGGATGCAACAGTGTATTAAAAATATTTGGAGTTCTGTGCTACTGATTAACCTTTAATAGATTAGCTTGGGACACGCGCTTTCATGCAGGTTTCCTTCAGAAAAAGCCGCTTTTATTTGAAAGCAAATGGTGGGGTCAGGAAGCTGAAACCCCCATGTGACAGATGATCAAAATACAGTGACTTGCTCTGCTGAACAGCCCTTTTTTTTTTTTCCTTCCTTGCCTTTCTTTTTTTTGTTAACAGAAGAAACCGAAGCTGCTTGGTTTAAAAGACCAGTCTTTGGCAGAAGCCAGCAAACATGGTGTGGGGACAGAATCTCTCTTCTTCGAGAAGGTGAGAAGCGAGATTCAGAGAAAGCCCGTCTCGTGTCATTGATCTGTGTTCTTAGTGTGTGTGCGTCCGGATTTTTATCGCAGTGAAGTACGTGGTGTATATATACCGCCCTGATCACATTTATCAGCTTGACCTCAGATGTATCATGCAACCTCTGAGTCAGATCCACTGAATTTTTTTTTTTAAAGACCGGTGATCTTTTTTTACGTGGACATTGTGTCTTTTCCCCAAAGCTCACTCTCCGGCTTTTCACCCGCTTCTTGATGCGGTTTATTTGCAGGAATGGGATTTTTTTTCCTGTAACGCACACCCCAAATTTTTCTTCACCTTTATGAAACCCCCGGACAACCGGTGATGTGCGTGGCGCGTCCTGCTGCGTCGGCGCAGCTTGCGGTACCCACCCGCAACCAGCTGCCTGCAGCGTGGGAGCTCGGTTTGCAAAGCAGCTGGTTCGTCTCGACGTTGGGTTTTTGGTGGTGGGTTTGGGGTTTTTTTTTCCCCTTTCCCCCAGAGCTGACTCTAATTAATCGCACAGCTGTTACCTGTTGCTGGTTTACCACACAGAACAAATGAAAGATCTGTGGGATGTTTCCAAGTGGTACCTTGGCGTCTTCCCTGAGGTGTCCGTACGTTTCCTTACGGCTCAGAGGGGAGTATACGGTGAACATAAACAAGCTTTTTAAGTAATACCCATGTCTCGATGAAAGTCTCGGTTGCTCCCTGATGATGTGGTGCGTTTTGCAGCCTGCTGTAGACCAGCTAATGGTAACTGGGAACCAATCTATGGCTCGGAGGATGTGTAGGTGTTAACATGAATAAACCTAGAAATCCCTGCTGTAGGATTATAACCGTAATGACGAGTGCCTTAATGATGATAGATCTCCGTCTGACGCGTAGATGCTAACTGTTCTCGTGGGAAAGGTAATGGCGTTGGGATGAATCCTTCGGTCTCCTCGTACCGTGAAGATAAGGGGTACAGAAGCCGGCTTATCTGCGGTGAGCCGAGCGGCAACGCCGGCGGGGCCGGCGCGGCGTTACCCAGGGCACGGCACGCTCAGCCCCGCTCCCCGCTCGCGATACTCTCCG